ATTAATCAATTTTCATTTAACACAATTTCCATTTATATATTCATTCTCAAAAAGAACTCTGTTCAAGAAACAGCGTTACCAGAGAAGCGGGAAGAGAGAGAGAGTAGCTGAGGACTCTAGACTCATGGAACTAGAAAGGCTGTGGGCTGGCAGACAGGAGGCTGGCATGTAAAATGTGCCCTTTGGTTGTTTGTTGTTGTTGTTAGGTGCCATCCAGTAGATACAGACTCATAGCGACCCTATGCACAATAGAATGAAACACTGCCCGGTCCTGGCCCAACCTTACAATTGTTGTCACGCTTGAGCCCACTGATGCTGCCATATTGCCAATCCATCTCGCTGGGGGATCTTCCTCTTTTTCTCTGACCCTCCACCTTACCAAACATGATATCCTTCACCAGTGACTGGCCAGTCCCTTAAACATTAGATATTCCTGTGTCTTTCTGTGCACACTAAAAAAAGGAAAAGAAAATGGGAACAGAAGCAAATACAGTTAAGCAATGGTGCATGCAGGGGATTATAATCATTGCAATGAAACAAAATTCGATTGGTTGAGTGCAAAATAGATGTTCTGCCATGTAAACTATCACTCAGTTCACAATAAAAGCATTAAAAAACCTCTAAATAACTTTAAAAAACTCTGTTCTTAACGTCTCTCATTTTGTCAGTATGTGATTATTATAGTCTCCAAAGAAATACAAGTTATCATTCTTGATTTATTTTTCTATTATTATATATGTATATAATAAACATATATACATTTTTTTCCCAGTGAGGTACTTGGTTATAATCCATCCTTTATCTGAAAATATCTCCAGTATCTGCCTTGTCTATTCCATTTCCATAGACACCACTTTACTCCAGGCTTTAAGCTTTATAACAAACCTAGATTGCTAATTAGCTTCCTCAATGATTTACCTATACCAGTAACTCCCATCTAATCCACATGTACACTTCCATTACATGAAATTTTCTAAAACAGCATTTTCATTATCTGACCATCATGACTAACTCTTATATATGCTTACAATAAAGTCATTATTCTTACTGTTTTCTCACCTCTGAGTCATCTTGATAGTAAATTAATAATTTTCTGTTATTGTTCTACAATTACATATTATATCTCATCCCATTAACTGTGATCTCTTTAGAGTTCAGGGTTACATAGTCCTCTTCTCATAAAATCCCCAATATATTATGCTATGTTTCGCTCAATGATTCTCAGGAAACACTTGTTGATTTGAAACAAAAATAGTGGCATTTCTACCTAACAAATTGCCTTCTCTTGCTTCCTGGATAATTTCACAAAGAGTTTATGTCACAGAGACAAATAAATTTCAACAGCTATCTATATTTCACTCCTACTATTCAAGTTTTTTTTATTTATATCAATTATACTAATTGGTAATAATTTAAAGTCTAATATATTTTGAACTTGCAACTAAAGTAATTAATAGAACCCCTAGAAGCATATTTTTTTCAAAGTATTATGAATGTTATTGTGCTTTCAATTGGTAATTTTTTAAAATCAACCAATCACTGAAGAGAAACAGAAAGGAAATAAAATTATATTAAAACATGTACCATTCCCTAAAAGTCGAGACTGTAAATTCCAAAAAGGCAAAGTTCCCTCCCCCCCAAAAAAAGCTAAAGAGGATAGAGAGAAACTCTGTTAACTGATGGTATGTGGAAGGGATTATAATCAATGTAATGAAACAAGGTATATGAATGTTTGAATGTGAAACCAATGATGTGCCCTGAAAACTTTCACTCAATCCACAATAAAAACCTTAAAAACAAACAAACAAACAAAAAACATGTACCATTATTCAAAAGGAAAGATAGCAACTTTATGCATCACCAACAGAAATTAAGCTTCTTACCTTGGAAGTATAAAGAACACTCCATTATTGTGATAAAAAAATGATGTTGAAAGAAAAATCATTTCAACAAGTTTTCATAATGAAACTCTGTGAGCAAATAGGCAAATAAAAATTTTTATTTGGAAAGCAGTAAATTGTCCTTTAAAAAAGGACAAAATGTCCTTTGAAAATTCCAGGAATGAGTAAAACATTATATAGTTTATGACGTTTGTTTTGTTTTAATTCAGATTAAGTTGGTTTAAGACATTAAATAAATGAAGTCACAAATATTAAATTCCCTTCATGTTTAAATAATTTATTTGATGTTTGAGACTTGTGTATTCATCTCAATACTTGACATACTTATCTGTAGGACACAAAAAATAGTGGTCTGTTTAAAAGACCTCAGTAAATGACAATATATTTTAAAATGCACTTTTGAGTACAAATATTTCCAATGAGAAGAAGAATAGCTGTTGAATGGATAGATACTATTAAATTCAGAGCATTTCTGAAATTTACAAATGTATATCTACTTTTTGCTTTTTAACTAAATGAACACAATCACTTAAAAATAGGTGTGTCAGTGTATGTATACCTGCAAACAAACAACATGCAAAAACATTTTGAAGTGGAAAAATTTTAATGAACTGCCAAAATTCTACAATAACTGTCATCCACAGACTCCACATGCAAACACTACTTGTCTAATACTTGTTAGAGCAAATAAGAGAGCAAATTGTTAGAGCAAATAAGCAGAATTCCTTGACAAAACTTTTTTTAAAATGTAAATAGAGAAAACAGAAATCCACTTCTTACTTGAAGAGTACATAAAATAATCTCTATAATATGAGTCATATATACACATAGCATCATGTAAGCTCAGAAAATAACATCTTCTTGTACACATACCTATAGTATTATACATACACTTATAGTACATGCTTAGCATATGTCATCACTGGAAGCAAACAGGCAATGAAAACAGTGGCAGGAAAGAAACTATCTATTAAACACTTAAAAACAAAAGATATAACAAGGATTTGGAATGTATATGTAAGGGAAAGGACTGTTGGGAAAGTAAGCAGAAGGTAACAGAAACCAATTAAAACAGAAAACAGCAACTACTAGTAATTATAAGAATGAATCACAAAAGTTAAATGGGTGCAGTGGGAAAGTTGAAAAGATATTTTCCTCCTTGCTTTAAGCTATATACAAAATGTTGTTGCTAGCCAAAACCCAGTTGGAATGTGAGTTGGCTAAACTATATGAATCATAGGATAGACTTTCCAAAACTATAACACAGGGTTGTTCTGAATAACAAATGAGTATCAGCTATGAAGATGCTCCACAAACTACGAAGTGCTACACTCATGTATGACAAAAATTATTTGCACAATATTTAAATTCAATCTTTCTTTCCAGTTCTGGAAAGAGCAAACCATGAGCTCCACTATCAAAGATTTTCATACAAAGTAAGGCTCCATAGTCATAGTGAAGCCTGACTTTGAAAGGAGAGCTAAGATAGTGACAAACTCATCAAAAGGAGAGGTATGCAGATATACATATGGGCAATGTCAGAACTCCTAGCATTTCCTTGCAGCAATTTTTGGGGGTAGATTATTCAGTGGAAAGAAAAAAAGAGATTCACTTTCATGTTTCACTCTAACTCTAATGAAGTTTCATTGTTTGCACACGGATAGAATTAAATGATCCTATGGCAATTAACAACAAAAAAATATTAGTCCCTTAAAGCAGAAAGGACTGAAAGGGTTAAAAAATTATATAAATTCATAAAAAATTCCAAAGCATATATTTTCCTCTTACATATGAAAAACTGAAAAAGATGAAAAGTCTAAGGTATGCTAGCTGTGTGTGTGCATTGCTATGAGCATTTCACAGCTAGAAAATGAAAATTCAGTGAGACTAATTTATTCAAAGTTCATTTACTCAATACTACAGAGCTCAAATTTGAGTCTAGCTCTGATTTAACTAGAAATCCTGACTGGCATTTTCTATACCACCACCACCACGGCCTCCCTTCATCAAAAGACAAGACACTAGAAAGATAAACAGTGAAAACAGCCAACACATAGTTTTGGGTTTCTTTTCTTGTTAGCACTACTACTTGTTAAGAAATGTGTTGGTAGTGAATAATATATTTCCATTGTTGTTGTTGTTGTTAAGTGCCGTGGAGTCGGTTCCGACCCATTACACTTCAATAAATGCCCTAAACAGCATTTCTTCCTCCCCTGATGATTAGTAACTCTATAAGGACAATTCATCACATCAGAAACATAGGTAATAATGTATCATCAGCTGCTAATATCACAAAAAGAGAAAACCAGATATTATGTGAAACTTAAAATAAACACAACACCATCTACAAAATATTCTTTCTCCCAACAATGAAAGTACTCCCCAACAATGCTATTTTAATCTTATCAAGCCTCTATATCAAACTATCAGTTTGAGAAAATAGAGGGTAGAGGAACAGGGATGCAATCTGCACAACTTGAACTGTGTGACAAAAGACACAAATCCATTTCTTCAACAAATGAAATTTATAGGGAAAAAATCAATAAAAGGGGAACCGACTCCACGGCACATAACAACAACAACAACAACAAGACTTAATAAGCACTCAAAGATTTGTAAAAATCATGGATATAAAAATCATTAAAACAAATGCCATTTGTAAGACAATTAGAAATTTAAACCCTGCTTGAATATTTGTTGATGTTTAAAATTACTATTAACTTTAAATATGGTAAGTTAATTGCAGTTGTACTTCAAAAAAGCCCATAGCTTTTAGAGAATTATACTAAATACTTATTAATATAATAATGTGATTCTTGGTATTTGCTTCAAAATAATACTGGAAGAGAGGCAGTGAGTGGGGTGTAACTAAAAAAAAAATGTTCATGAATTGATAATTGTTGAAGCTGGATACATTTGAAATATTTGTAAGGGGAAAAAAATGTCCTAATTACTTTCAAGGGAATAAACATTTTCATGGAATCACAGAGCTGTAAAGGGCCTTGTAAACAATCACTGTAAAGCTCCTCATTTTATAACTAAGGAAAATTAAGGCTCAGATGGATTAAGTTACTTGCTCAACGTCACAAAATCTGTCAATTCCACCCTGAAGATCAGAATTGAAATCACTTATTTGTAGTCCAAGGATCTATTCTTTTGCAAACCAATAAGAAATGACTGTTTAAACATTTAGTCCAGAATACCCTCAAAACTGAATGTAATGGGAGTAAGCCAGGGGATGATGAATGAATAGAATTCATACCAAAAATGAGCTGCCAGTTACTGTGATAAGGTCTGTTTCTCTCTGAGAACCAGGGTTTCCTACTGGACTGGAGAGCCCAAATGGGGTTTCTTCCTCCCGTTCAAAGAAGTCAGGGTCAGAATGTCCGTTCCATTCCACTTTAGTTGGCGCCAGTAGTTCTGAGACATTGTTATCACAAAGGGCGCTTGAAGGAGTCAGAGTATCTGTGTCCACTGTTAACTTATTACTGGGGGTCAGAGCTTGGGGCTCTTGACTTGAGTTCTTTATAGACAAACAGCCCAGAGACCCCAATGGCCCTGCACTTATATTTGGGACATCATCCATATCTAAGGTGCTCTGCTGAAAACCTGAGGCCGTTGTTCCAAAAAAGAGAGAGGTATCCAGACTTTGAGGAAGGTCACTATTGGTCACCAAGGCCCGAGGGTCCACGGTTTGCCCTAAGGAATTATTATTATTATGAAGGGGGTTCCCTACAAGAGTTGAACTCACAGAAGATACATCAATAGTCAAGATTCCAGAGTTCACCATGGCTGAATCCAATATTGTGGCAGAACTATTGCCAGACACATCAGAAAAGAGAGACACTAGGTCTGCATCACTAAGATCGCTCTGTCCCTGGTTGGTAAGTTCATTGCTGGGTGTAAGAGAATTCGAAGCTTCTAGCTGAGCTAAGAGATCCTGACCAAGGTTATGCCTTTTGGCCATGTGGGTCCTCATACTGTGCTTGGATGTGAAGAGTCTATTACAAGCAGAGACTGGGCAATGGCTTTTCCAAGTGTCTACATCCTGCAGATGCTTCTTGGAGTGAATGTAGAGACTACTGCGAGCAGAGAACCTGGCACAACAGCCTTCCACGGGGCACACAAAAGGCTTTGTGCCCAAGTGGGTTATGCTGTGACCTTTTAGATGCTCGGCCCTGGTGAATGATTTCCCACAGCCTTGCACAGGGCATGTGAACCTCCGGTCATCCTCGTGTTTCCTTTTGTGCCTTAAGAGCTTGGACATGCTGGTGAAGTTCCAGCCACAGCCATCAAAGTCACAAAGGAAAGGTCTCTCACCGGTGTGGCTCCGAAGATGAATTTTCAGCCTACAGGCCTTGTCATATTGCTTGCTGCAGCCAGGAAAAGAGCAGGAAAAGAGTTCCTGTTCCCTGAAATGGGCGCGGTTATGTGAAAACAGGGCACTCACTGTGATAAATGTCTTCTTGCAACCGGAAAACGCGCACTGGTAGGGCCTCTCAGGTTCAAAGTGACTGCGCTGGTGGACGCTGAGTTTGGTCTGTGTGGGGAAGCTCTCCTCACACACCTCGCACTTGAATGAGTTCTCCTGCTCATGGCCTTTCATATGAGCCTTGAGGTTGTAAACTGTGGTGAAACTCTTGCCACAGCCCTCCACAGGGCATCTGAAGGGCCTCAGTTTGTCGTGGGACTGCAGGTGTCGCTTGAGTTTGTAGGAGGTGGTGAAGGTCCAACCACAACCGCTCAGGGGGCACTTGAAGGGCCTCTGACCCTGACTGCTGCTGTGTGTCAGCAGGTGCACTTTCAGTTGGTGCTTCTTGGTGAAGGTCTGCCCACACTGTGCCTCAGGGCACACATAGAGCATCATGCTTGAGCTCAGGCCCAGTGGCCCGTGGAGGCCCTCAGGGGCTACAGAAACCACCGCTTTTTCCTCAGGCGCCTGAATAGGCTCGGGTTCCTGTGACTCTGCCAGCAAGAGGTCAGGCGGCAGCTCAGGGCAGTTTAAGTACTGCCTGGTGTGTGGCTCCCCAGTCTGCTTGATGATGATTTCCCCAGATTCCCAAGCGGGAGGCGGGGGCGTGGCCAGGGTGAGGACCCCGTTCTCAAAGCGCAACAGCAGGTCTTGGTTGTGAATGGTGACGGTGCCAGCAAAGGCAATGGTGGAGCTGGGGCTTGGAGCAGGAATCTGAGACCCGACAGGACTTGAGGACGAGCAGCAGGGATCCAGCTCAGGACGGCCTGCATGGTTTGCGCCGCACTCTCGCCCCTGGAGTCGCGGGCCCGGCGCGGCCTCCTCCCTCCACACGGGCCCTGCGACCTGGCCGACACCTGCGGTCTCCACGTCGCCACCCACCGGGTCTAGCAGCACTAGGAAGAAGTCGTCGCCACAACCAGCGTGATCGGTCTTCGGCGCCAGCGGGCTCGGGCCCGGGCCCTGTGAGACTGCTTGGGCCTGCTTGCGTTGCAGCCCAGGACCGCCATCTTGGGGCCCCCGGAGCGGTAGCAGGCGGCGCGCGGGGGGCTGGCAAATTCGCGGATCAGGCCCTCCATGCACCTGGCTTCCTGCAGGGTCGCTGCTGCCATAATCGCCTTGTAGTGTCCTGCGATTTGTGAGCAACCTGGGGATTTCCATCTCTGCGTCCGTGAGGCTCTGCTGGAACCAGAGCTGCGGAGGAGGCACGACCCCGCCCCCTGCCGGGGGCCCAAGCATGTTCCTGAAGAGAAAAAAAATGTGCAATGCGCAGAAACTGGCCCTATCAGATATTAAAACGTATTTAACGCCACAGTGATTTAAATATTCTGGTATTCACACGAGACAAAACGGGTCTCTAAAACAGGATAAGAACCCAGAAGCAGATCCTGGTATGCATCAATAATTTCCACAATTGTTATTAGTAGATAATCAATGGGAAATAACAACTCTTTCAATACACGGGTTATCTATCTTTTATTAGCAACTTAAATCCATGTCTCACTCTATCTACTATAAATAAACACACCCCTAGCCTATTCCAGTAGTCCTGATGTGGTAGGCTAAGCACTGGACAATTAGCCACAAGGTCAAAGGTTCAACCCACCAGCTGTACCTCTGAAACCCTATTCAGGGTCACTATGAGTCAGATTCAAGTTCATGATAGTTAACAACAACTAAGAAATCCTGGTTGGACAGTGCTTTAAAAAACTCTACTGCTAACCTAAATTTTCTCCACTGGAGAAAAATGTGACATTCTGCTTCAGTAAAGATTACAGTCTTGAAAACCCTACAGAGCAGTTCGACCATATCCTAAAAATCAGAATCCACTCTATAGAAGTGGGTTTGGTGTTTTGGTTTGAGTAGCCCCTTTTACTGATGCGTAGTTCTTTGTGGCAAAGCACTGCTGGATGAACGGATGGATACACGAATGAATGGATGGCTGATGAAGTTGCTGAGAGAATAAACTGCTAGCATTTCTACTGAAAACGTACCCCACCCCCCACACACAAGACTTCAACAGCCAAAATAGTCTTGAGGAAGGTCCTAATAGAAATTTGTAATGATTAGAATGAGTTCTTGTTGTTAGGTGCCTTAGAGTTGGTTCTGACACAGAGCAACCTTATATAGGGTTTCAGAGGCTATAAATTGTTATGGAAGCAGAAAACTTCCCCTTTCTTCCAGGATGTGGCTGGTAGATTCGAATTGTGACCTTGTGGTTCGCAGGTCAACTTACAACCCACTATGCCACCAGGGCTCCAGAATGAGTGAGATGGGGTCAAAAACAGATTAGTACTGCTCAACCAAGAAATGCAAGGCCTGGACAATACAATAATGCACACTGAAATTTGGAAAACCCTAACCCACTTTGGTTCTCTCTGTACTTTTCACCATCCAAACCAACTCTGCCTTTCTACCTGAAGGTTACACCTGTGGTAAATTTCATGTCCAATCTCATGGCACAATGAGCACATTCTTCAGCATACTCTTGAATTAACCATGTTTCTGAACAGGATGCACCAATTAAATTTCTAAGTCACTACATTAGACTCTCCCAAGAAAACTGCACAGATGACCTTGTCCCATATCCGTGGGTTGTCTTGCTCCCATCTAAGTGTGGTGATCCACTCTCAATGCAATGAACTCTGTCTAGCAATAGTATTAATTTTGATGAAAATCCATTTGGACACTCCATCAGGAAAGACTAACACTAGAAAATGAGTCTTTCTATTATTTCCTGTTATTTTATCATACAAATTTCCAAACATTCTGAAAAGTTGGAAGATTTCTGTAGTTACTACTACCTAGATTTTACAGTTAAACGTTTGCTCCTTTTATTTATTAATTTTTTTTATATTTAATTTTTTGTGTGTGAAAATGTGAGGGGACTTCAAATAGGTCACAGAAAAATGTCATGGACTTTTTTTTTTTTTTAATTAAATGTTTTTATTTTGCATTGAGTGAAAGTTTACAGGGCACATCATCAGCTTCACATTCAACC